AGCTTGGAATGGTCTATTCTTTCATTGGGGGTGTGTCTGTGAACCAGACTAGTTTCGGAGAATTCCACTCCTCATCAGTGACCCTGGACACTACCACCAATGAAATATCAGACCAAACCAAGCCTTTATAGTAGCGAGATATCGAAAATCGAACTGGTGTATTTAAGTGCTCCGAAACTAGTCTGGCTCACAGACACACCTCCAATGAAATAATAGACCATTCCAAGCTTGTACTTGTTGTTAAACAAATGTTTAGACAACTCTATTTATTCCAATTGGTGTTTAGTTTTCAAGTACAAGCTTGGAATGGTCTATTATTTCATTGGAGGTGTGTCTGTGAGCCAGACACCATAATGGTTTAGTTTCATTAAGGTGGGATGCGAAGGTTGAATCTATTTTCCTGAACTTCTTGAATGTTCTTTAAATCTTATTTCTATGGAAACACACACGCGCACACAAACACTGTTGTGGTCTTGACACATTAATTGGTAAACACCACTGTTGTTGTACTTTTTGAGTTTGTCTTTGTTGTTACACAACATTTTTCCTAGATTGTTTTTGTAGAAGAAGGCCGGTCTGTAGATTTCTTTGTTCGTTGTGTGTTATATATTTTGTAGCTCATGTTAAACCAGCTACATAAACCATGTTATAAATGAAGTATTTGTGAAATTTAAAGTTGTCTTTGTTTTTCTCCTCAATTCCGTGATATTACTTAATGTAGTCATGGTTTTATTTACTTGGTTTGTAATTTGGATTAAACTACTTCTATAGTCTAATGTTTTGTTACTTTTTTGTCTGAAGGATCCACATCATGGCTGGAAATCAATCAAGATATATCAAAGATAGTAATGTTGAGGAAGTGTATATTGAGAACTTGGTGAAAGTGTTGGATCTATATTCACAGGTGACTGTACTGTTATATTGTTGATTAAATACTTTGCTAATAATACAACAAGCTATACCATAATGTCAATACTTGACAGCCGTGAGAAACTTTAACCTAAGTTACATTTTGTTGAGTTGGTGTAAATGTTATCGTAATAACAGGAATTCAAATCACATAAAATTAATTTTGTGTTGCTGCTTGTGTACCACTTCATTCTCTAAACAGGTGTGTGTGTGTGTGTGTCACACTTAAATTTCAAATCTATGCGAGTAGAGACGATAAAATATAAAAGGAGTTCTTGACTGGTTGTTAGCAGTTTAAATAAAAGTTTAGCTTAACTCTCAACTGATAGGGTGAGGTCAGAATGACCCACGTTGATTTCAACCTAATATTTTCTGTATCCTATCTTAAATCAGTTCTTAAGTGTTGAGCAGAGGGTATGTGGTGTCACAGATCTGTTTCTTACTGTTGTAATCATTTGTGGGTCATTCTCACCTTACCATATTATAAAGATTATACTTTTGAAATTTATTACACATGGGTCATTTTGACCCACCCTACCACCTACAATAGAAATATTTTCCCCTACTGGTCGAGAATTAAAATGACTTAGTAGATATACAGATCTGTAAGAGAGTATGTAGACGTTTGTTAGACATGTGTATGGATGCGAAAGATTAGTCAGTTTGTGGTTATTCGGACTGTGAAATAGACTGACTTTATGTGAAACTGTTATCAAGTGTTTATGTTACGTTCGTCAGAGTCATCTATGATTATTACTCAACACTAGATATTAAGCACAATAAGTAAGTAAGGTATAGTTATTAATTTACTTGTAGAGATAAAGTGTTAGTTATATCAGTATTATTTAGATAAATCTATGTAACAGTCATAGAGTAACTTGTTGAAACATATTAACTTTGCTAAAATTTTCCAGATTAAAATATATATATATATTTTTTTATGCTCCCTAGGAAGGTATTACATTTGTAATTGAACCTATAACACAACTTCTGAAACCAAATTATTTTCTGACAAGTTTTGACCAAGGTAAATATTTTAAACAAATTTTTAAATAAGGTTTCACTGCTGTTCTTGTATAAATGATAACCCAGTTAAACAGTAAAGATGACAAGTTAACTTATTAAATCGGTTAGTTCAGTAGTGTCAGAGTGTTGTTAGAAATGTTTATTTATTTTTTTAACATAACTGATTATTTTATTTACCCGATGTCCCTGGTATGAAGGATTTCCGCAGGAAAAGTTTGGAAATCTAAATGAATTTTTAGATTATTTGGGAGAAAGAACTGGCTACTTACC